CCCCCAATACAGTGAGCATGATGACGCCAGTGATTGGAGGAGTGTGGGGCGGGAAGTGTTTTCTCTCATTTCACTGTCCTGACAGCCCGCTGAAACCCCCACCTCCACCACCCACCTCTTAGCCTCCCCCTCCTCAATGGGACATCTGACACCCCCCCAGCTGCAGAGGCCCAATGAGGATTTACTGAACAGCGAAGGTCTTTTCACTCTCTTAATTTAATTCAGTGACTTTAATGACACGAATGTTGATCAGACACAATGAGGCTGCTACAGTGTGCAAGACCTTGAAGTTCAAAAACCAGCTGACAGCTGACGTATTTGTAATTATTTATTGCACTATTACTGATAGTGTAGAGTATCAGTTCCACAGTTAAGCACATTCAGTCTGAGTAATTTTTAGTGCATGGTTTGGTTCAACTCGGCTCATTTTTGGTATCAGGCTTTTCTCTATTTCATTTTCTACTGCGAATAGTAAGCACTCAGTGTCGGCGGGATTCTGAGCTGATTGCCATAGCAATGCCACGAGAAACTGCTGTGACATCATCTTCAACATGACACTTGCTGGATCTTTTCATCAGCAACCAAGAGACCCGTCTCCATGTCAACAAATGCACAGCATACTTAAGTGTACGGCATAGTTTTGCGGGCAACAATTTTTTGAAATCTGGGTCAATTAAATAAAATAAATGTAGTCACCATTGACGGTAGCTTGGCTATTTAAAAATGGCGGGTTTGGGCAGGCCATCCCTTGTTAGGCAAGTGATGATTTTTGTGATGGTTGACCAGACCAATCAGTTGTCTGCAGTGTTTTGACCTCACCTTCTAGTATTGGCTCAGCTGGCTTGGATCCTTAACCGAGGTGGTATGGAAAAAAATTACAAGGTATTATCCACAACTTTTGCTAATGGAAAATCCAAAAAGAGCGCATTAAGTTGAGTAGAGCTGTGCCAAACTCAAACTGAGATTGTTGCAGGAATATTTTCTGATGTTGCGATTTATGGCCAGTACCTTAAACCCCCACGCCACCTTTACTGTTTTAAAATAATTAACTTTTTAAGTTTGGTCCTGGAGCTTGACTCCAGGGTACACGCTAGGACCGAAAAATCTATTTCTGCATCACAGTACGCTACATGCAGTTCTAACTATTTACAATATGTACTATACATTAATTGTAATGATATACTGTAGTTGCTGTTAGTATACAAATCATTGTACTCCACTGGTTGGCACATGGCAATACAAGCAAAGATTAACCTGAATGAAACTATGACTTTGGAATTCCACTGTCATTTAAACTTAAAAGAGAAAGCAAAATCATGGAAGATAATTGTTGACCTAAGAAATAGTGGCTTGACCAAACTAACCCCACATCAAGGTCCTGTCACCAGCTTTTTCCAGAGCTTTAACCATACCACATGTTCTTCATCAGCAGATGGACTTTATACTTAAAACCTGCAGAACTAATGACATTTCCTTAAGCCTCGGCTGTACTCTGTATCTACTTCTAAGTAGCAAATGGTAATATGTCAACATGCAAAACTAAGATGACATCATACCGCTGAACACCACTATATTAGTATTTTTCATTGTTAGCATGTAGCCATGCTAGCATTAGCATTTAGCTGTAGTCACATGTGTGTGATAACATTATATAGTCAAAACCAGTTTAATTTAGCATGTAGTGTGGGGCTTGGACACAGCTTATAGTTACAGCCCAAGTCCATAACTTTAAGCTACAGATTGATTTGGCTGTTTGGATTTTGTGTCCACTTAAAAGGTTTCAGTGTTCCTCAGCAAAGATGATTGTGTGTGTGTGTGTGTGTGTGTGTGTGTGTGTGTGTGTGTGTGTGTGTGTGTCTGTGTCTGTGTCTGTGTCTGTGTGTGTGTGTGTGTGTGTGTGTGTGTGCCCGATGAAAGGCTCGTTATGGTTCCTGCAGATTTGCATATAAAGCACTTTCCAAAAATGTTGGTTGTCAGAGTCTCTAACAAGGCAACCAAAGATCTTAGGTCAGTTAAAAAAACCTTCAGAAGCTCAGAATGGTACAACTGTTATACTGTTTCCACAAGTGGCACAAGGTTAAGTTTTCCCCTCACACTCCTGCCCTGCCCAGCTCAAATGTACTATACAGTGCCAGTGGATGGAGTGTGTGTGCCAGTGTATGCCAACTGCACAACACACAGAGGCAGCCTCACCCCATCTTACTCAAACCCATTCATTCAACAACTGGCACTGATATTGTCTTTTGCAGAGACAAGATTGTCTGACATAAACTCCCAGCCTTCTAACACACACAATATCTACTTAGGACTAAACTCATGCCAGCACATGTACTCACACAATACACACCCAACACGCATGCCACTAACAACATGAAAGACAATCCCCTTGAGAAACGCAGTATTTTGCGCCAAAAGCTCGAGGAGGGAAATCGCATTAAGCGATGTGTGAAACCTCCGTAGAAAAGTAGATAAATTGAATGCAGCTAAAATTTCCTATTATGTATGGGCTGTAAAGGCTTGACATCAGAGGCTGGGCTGTCCCAGAGAGAGGCGGCTTCTTGGTAAAGAAAGGAATTTGTCACTCAAGCTCCTAAACTCTTAAATCTCCTCTAATACGGTACAATCAGCAGCCTCTAATGTTCGCAGACTGGGTTTCCCTCGCCACTCAGACTTCAGGCTCTGCTCTGATTTTACGCCTCCTCTCTGAAGAGGAAAAACAATCTGGGTTCCCAACACTGTGTGTGTGTGTGTGTGTGTGTGTGTGTGTGTTTTTTTTACTGTATGTGTGCCGATGGGGGTCTGTATACCTCCACCTACCCTCCTTCCTCTCTTCCTATGGTGGTAGTGTTTTGGCTAGTGTCTCTCAAAGCCTTTTGAAGTCTCTGGTGTTATCTGGGTGTCAGCTGTGGTGAGGATGGTCAAGGTGGGAGAACAACACTCTCACACACACACATACACACAACCCTTGTGTCAGATAGTTGCTGCGTGGACAACTGGAGTCGTTAAATGAAGTCATACGTTATGTTTTCCCTCCGTTTGAAGTGAGTGTCCTTGCACTCACACTTCCTCCATGCACTGTGAGTACAGGCTCATGACAGGCCTGCCTCTGGATATGTGTGTGTAGAAACATTATGGCAACAGAGGACTATTTGTACAAGGCTATAAATAGCGAAACATAATTTATTTTGTCACCAAATGTAATAAAGACAGTCCACATGAACATCCCGTTCGCATATGTGGGCAATTCATTCATAATTCCATTCATTAACACGTAAACAGGAAGTTAAGCGCAGCGTTTGCACTTACTGTGTGTGCATATTGGAGCAACGTGCAGAATAGTTTTGAATCCACTCATACACACCCTGATCGTGGTTGGTTATATGAGTTATAGTTTTGTTTCCCAGAAAGCCGTCCAAGCCCAGAGAAGACACACATACACACACACACTCACACTAAGTTTGGATCCTACAGGCAGCCCTGCATCATTTAAACAGAGCAGCTCCACAAGCATCAAGATACTTGAGGAAGATCAGGTGAAGGCAGAAAATTGTTGACATACAGGTGCACAGTAATCAGTTTTCCTCTGTCATATTTTTGACCATGTTTGATAATCCTACAGCCTGAAAAGGTTTTTTTCCTCGTTTTGGGGCTTGCGGCACAGTGACAGACACGCACACATTTTTTCCTGCATTTGAATTTTACAAAAAGTGTACTGTTCAGCTGTGGAAACGGACTTATTTAGAATTATTTATTTCAGTTTGAGTTTTAGTCAGACTTTGGAGTTAATTATTTCGGATACAGGAACACACCACCACACGTAATGGTTTTTCCTTTAATGCCAACGCATCACATGATACTCCATGGGCCGGGTCTATGACATGCACATCCACTCTTGTAGAAACTCAATTATAAACCTGTATATACCGTACATGGCAGAGGAATCAAACCTTAGTAAGCAGGTTATCCTTAAACTTTAAGCCTGATAGAGGAAAACATGCTCTCTTTAATATGATTTTTAAAACATCAGGTGACTGCAGACTGCCAGAAAGAACTCAGCGTGACTTACATTCATGTAAAGAGATCCAGCCTCACGCCACCTGATTGAGTGCAGGGTTCTTTGGGTCTTTTTGACTTCCTACTCTATCTATTATATAGTTTCCCCTCTTCTAAGCCTAGCAAAGGCATTGTGGTCTAACCAGAGTTTCAATTTAGGCACTAAATAAGTCTTCTTTTCTAGTGCTCTGGTGCTCTGATCTAGTGTAGCAAGTGAATATCAGAGCCAGAACTTCCTCTTCCATGCACTGGTCATTTTGGATATCTCTATAAAAAGACAGGCGACCGTCCAGTTCCCAACCCAAGTCCCTATGGACTGAGCCACTGCCGCCCCATACCTTATACATTTCTTAAAATTTAATGGTGCAGCCTGATTTAGTAAATCAATGGCTAATCAATAGTTACTAAGAACTTATTAATGACTTCACTCTCAAAGGTTGAAATAGTTTAGGAACCGCTGGTGCAACCCAGTCCTGCACTCTGCATCTTCCTCTCACAAAACTTTTGTCTCCACTTTTGGGATAGTACAATTTTGCTGGGTTTTTTTTCCCTCGCTTGTTTCCCTGACCTCTTACCTCAAAATGAGCTAGAGCATTACCTCATATCCCAGAGCAGAGGTCCTCTGGTCATTCCAAAGCTGAACTAAAGGTAAAACAATCACAAGTTCTAACTGCTGCTCAGCTGACACAGTCACATATGACACGGCATCTGCAACAGAAGCTGTGAGTTGGATAAGGGTTGGAAAACCTGACACGGTCACATGCACCAAAGCTGTAATTTAAATAAAGATGGTTTCTGATCTTTGAACACGCTTGTTTGTTCTTCATTCTTATTTTATGTGTTCATTACTGCTTGCTTTGTAACTGTAAACTGGATTTGTGTGCCTTAAATGTAAAAGACTATCTACAGGGTTAATCTAAGCGTGTGTACGTCTCTTCTGTCCACAGATGTGACAGGTGTGTCCGTGTGTCCTCCAGTGGCCCTGGACTCAGGCGTGGGGCTTCTGTGTCGGCTGTTTGAGCTGTGGGGACAGGTACCAGCAGGTGTCCTCGCTCTGACAGAATGGCTCCTGGGAGATGAAGAAGAAGCCAATGATGAGGCAGTTGCAGAAGAAGCTTCCAGTCTGGTGAGAAGCTGTCATGTAACTTTGTCTTTGCGACCTCGGTACAGATACATACTGACAGCTAAAGTTGTTACACAGTGAAACAGAAACATCACAAACAGTACAAAGGAACAGTGAGAGATATTTGCAAGACGATGATTTGTATCCAGTGAGACTGATGAGAGATGACCATGACGACTGCCGTGGTTTCATTTTCTATGGTTACAACAGGGATTGTTGATTAAGTATCAGGGTGAAACAAATAGGACTTTAATACATGAACTGTAGAATCACCACTAATACTTCTTAAGGCAGTTGGCAACAGTTGACCCAGTGTTAAAGGAATAACCTTTTTAAAACATTTCATTTTTAACAAGTTTCACAACAGCAGTTGACATACTGAGTCTGTGATTTGCATTGGTTTAGCATAGTATTTACAAAGTGTGGAATCACAGTGACAGATAATACTATATTTTATTTTCCTTGCCCTTGTTTTATTCTGCTCACAGTGGTAGTCAAAATAGCTGAGCGATTTAAGCCACCAAGGTTTCTGCTCCACAGCCACACACTTTGCTCAGTTGACTGTTCAGTTTTGGTTCCTGTTTAGTTGATTTTGTCTTTCTACACAAAACTTTGAAAGCACCCTGTTTAACAGCTGATGGGCGTTGGAAGACATAATTCTGAGCAAAGTAACAAAATGTCCCGGGTACGGCCGCTGCCATCTTGTGCTGGTCATTTGGAACCAGAGTATGCACAGTAGACTGTACGACCAATCATGAGCAGCACCACTGATCATGAGCACTCGCACACAGCTGTCAATCATGATGTCAAACCCTCCTTTTTTAAGCATCAAATAACTCATTGAAACCAAACTTCTAAGAAAAACGAAGACTTCAACAAACATCAGTGTGATAAGAACAACCTAAAATGACACAAACCATGATTGGAAAAAAAAAATTATTTGACTTGCACTTTGACTTGACCCATTAACATGGAGGGGGTGGGGTATATGACCTGTACTGCAGCCGACCACCAGGGGGCGATTGAGATGTTTTGGCTTCACTTTTGGGAGCTGTCGTGTTGACCATCTGTATTATAAAGTCCATGTTGTGAATAGGCAACGTTTTGTTAGCATGTTAATCATGTAAACTTTTTCATTTGTCTATGTTATGTTTACAGCTTGTTCTGTTGCCCCCAAGTGGCCAAAAAGCCCCACAAACAATACTGATTTAAATCCACATCCCAGTAACCACACTTTCATTTTGCTTGTGACCAGGACGAAGAGGAATTCCTGTTTGAGAAGGGGGATCTAAACCTGTGGGCCGAGCCGGTCCAGTGGGTAAAGCTGCTTCACAGACACGTCGGGTCCCTCATCGTGACTTTTAGGCAGACCCAGGCCTCAGGAATCACAGGGCCGGACCAGGTCCACCAACTCCATACACTGTCGACTCAGGCCCAAGCCAAGGCACTCGGCTCCCAGCAGGCCCTGGACTCCCTCCCTGCCTTGCCCCAGTTCTCTTTAACTATGGAGCACGCCCGCCTGGTGCTGCGGCACCAGAGGGCCAGTCTGGCTCTAGATGTGCTGGAGAGGCTGAGGTAGGAGTTAGCAGTCATTGGCTCTTTTTTTTTTTTTTTAGGGTAAATTTGTTCAAATCAGAGGAAAAGTTAGCAGAAAAATGCTTCAATGAACCAAAGCATGGGACCACAGACTGGCTTTGTGGTCAAATGTTTTTCATATCAAATCAAGGGAATGACAGATACAATAGGATTTTTTTTTACTCTGTACATGTCTCTTACTTTGTCCTACAAATGTTGATTACCAAATGTGTTTTAATTTTTATGATTACTGTTCCTTAATGTCTTTTAAATAAATATATCTGAAATCACAGAATTTTTTGTTCTTTTTTTCCCCCAAAAAAGCGCTTAAATTAGAGTGTGTTGCTTCTTTAATGTTAATAATTGCATAAAGAAGCAGGAAAGAGATAAATCAAGTCATCAATAATAATAGTAACACCGTGTGAATGTGTGTGCAGAAGCCATAACAATAACTCAGCCCGAGCTTGTGCAAAACAACACTTGATGCACTATTCTATCAGTGGGAATGTGTCACACGACAAACTTTCAACAGTGTCAGTATTGAGTACACAGGCCGCTCTGCTTTCTCCACGTCTACCAGGGATTTAAGGTTGGAACAAAACAACTCAGCGCCTAAAGCTTCAAGCAGCAACTTCAATGGTGCGATTGTGCAGCGAGACGAGCTTTATAGGCCGAGGCATGGGATTGTGAAAGCAAGTGTTTTCTCTGACACGTCACCAAAGTTGTATTTCAGTATACGCTTCGACTTCTACTGTATGTTTATACGAGGTGTTATTTTCCTGTGATATTTAATTTACTGCAGGATTCTTCCCATTGGACTGTGTTTTTATGCTTCCCTCTACTTTTCCTGGTTATGTAATTAGGAAGGACGGCACAATGGACTACTGTCCTGTGTGTGTGTGTGTGTGTGTGTGTGTGTGTGTGTGTGTGTGTGTGTGGATTCATGCAGCCCTCTCATACAGCTGGACCCTTCTCCCTCCCTGGTAGCCATGTTCCCTGTTACAGTAAAACTGACGTAATGTTTTGGAACAGCTCAACATCCCCCAATAAAAACAACCGAGTGATGGGAGAGCGGTTTCTGCGGATGAGGACATGTTCAAGGGATTTCTCAGGAGCCTCGCCGTGTCTGTCCTTCACATTAAACTATTTATCACAACTTGCAAAGCGCAAATAGTCCTGGGGCAGCCCTCAGCCTAATTTTAGGGTTGGTAGTAGTAGATTCCAAGCTCTTATGTCACTTGTTTTTCGCCTGTTGCTATTTTCCCTATTTTTTTCATCTCCCTCCCCGCTTCTCCAACCAAACCATTCAGCACTTAAGAGAATATTGAATCATGTCACAGAAAAGAAAAATCATTTCTATAACCACTCTTCCAATTATGATCCTATATGGAAAAGACTTAATGGTTACCAGTGTCGAAGAAACCAGCAATTTCTGGTGATATGTGTTGCACAACGTTTTTACACCCTCCTTACCAAAATATCTGCTTTGCAGAGCCCTGATATAGAGGCCCGTCCTCTGCTGCCAACACTGCAATCTTTCCACTGTGGTTTTCAAAACTTGACATAACTCCAAGAGCAGAGTGGAGTAGTTTGACATTTTCATGTGAACATTTTGCCATCCTGGGAAGGTTACATCATGCTGAGACTGGGGCAGCTTATTGCAACCACACTGCACTCTTTGACTTTACAAAGCAGGGACTGTGTTGAAATGATCAAAACATCCCTAAACATGGGTGCTCCTCTGTGTCTGGAGCTCTCCTTCATCCTCTCTGTGAAAAGAAGAGGCATTTTCTTGCCATTAACAGTGGGACATGATTACAGCTAAATAGGCCTGATTGTACATTGAAATGCTCCAGCTCTGCTCAGCAGGTGGCGCCCCAGTCTCTCCCAGTCAGTTCCCATTTTGCTCTCATGGGGGCAGTGTTGCTCTGCTGTACCACATGGAAACCACATTCCTGCAGTCTGGGGTTGTGATTGGGAAAAACAAGTCAGGGAGGAACTTTAGCAGAGTGGCTTAAAAAGATTTTAACCAAAGTAAATCCATTTTGTCTTTAGGATGACTCAACGTGTCGTGCTTCAGCAGGGACAGATTTCTGATCTCAAGGTGAAGTCAAACATTATTAGGTTTGGTCACAATACAAAAGTAGGTCATGTGAGCACAGTAGGCATTAACTTGTCTGTTTTTCCATGTGTAGTACACTGGAATAGGCTGCTGTAGCTCTGTGGAAGTTGATTATGCAACCAGTGGATTCTAAAAATTGTGCTGCACTCTGCCTGGACTCCTCTCTGCTCATACTTGTGGTCTCACCCCATCCACAGGGAGAGAGAGAGAGGGAGAGGCAGAGTTTCCTTCCATTACGAATACATGTGTCAGCTTCCAAGTGTGGTGGTCCAGAGGCTAGAAGGGTGGCCTTGTCACTGGTAGGTCGCTGGTTCAAACCCCAGGACTTTGCTAGGAAGCTTGAGGGTGTTTGAGGAAACATTTCTCTTTCATTTCAATCCACCCACTGAGCTTCAGAGTGAGAGCAACAAACACACTGCTTCATCAGAGGACCAGGTGTGACTAGTTAATTTGCTGGAGAACAGCTTGTATGCATAGTAGACGTGCCTTGATGGCTCTACATTCTTTCTCAGCGAGAGTCAACCAAAAAAGCAAAACCGACTTCCACAAAATTGGTTGTGTGATTAAAAGAAGAAAAAAAAGTTGAGAGGGGTGTGAGGAGGATGGGGGGGATGGGAGGGAAGGGGAGGGGGTGCTGGGGTTGAATTTCAAGGCGTGGTGTTAAAGAATAGGCGGCCAACCGGTGAATGGAAGTTTTTTCGGAGAGGAGGGGAGGAGGCGGCTCCTCGCAAAACTTTGCACCGACTTCAGTTCGCCCCTCCCTGGCCACCGCCAGGCATTTATACCCATGCAAAAGGCTGGAGCAAACAGTGAAGCACTCAGGCTCAGCGCTTCTCGAGGGGAGGACATAAAGCCACCTACAACTCAGCAATACATACTAATCCCCCCTTTTTCTTCTACGGACTTAAACTGCACATAAACTTTTAAAGCAACTTTTCCACAACCAAAACCAGTCGTGGCACAAACTACCGTTTCCGCACGTCGCATTCAAGGATCCTGGTCGGTCCTCCATGAAAGAGGGAGTGCGGCAGCAAACTTGGGGAAAAGAGATGTCTGCGACCGTCTTGTCTGCGTTCTACGACATGGACATGCTTTACAAGGTAAAAGTCTGACAAGATGAGCGTTTTTCTGGTCAGGTTGAAGCACTTTGTCATAGCTGCATTAGCGTGCTTGAGTGGAGTTAGCATGTGTTCAGATGCAACAAGTTGTCACGTCGCAGGCAAACAAAGTTGTCTTAAACATGCCATGTGGTCAATACAGTCACAGAATTGGTGCTTGAGTGCATTGCTGACTCGTGTCTTTTCTCTTACAGCAAGATAAAAGCATGAACATGAACGCCCTCCACATCAACAGCATGCTGGACAAGAAAGCAGTGGGGGCTCCGGTCACGACTCCGGGCTCCGGCGGCCCCTTCACACCGGGATTTTTCCGCAGAAACTCAACCAGCAACGTGGAGGCGATGAACAACGGTAACAAATACTCCATGGGCTCCTACAGCAGCCTGAAGGAGAACACACCGAGCAGCAACAGCAGCGCCACGGCCCTCATGAACAAGGAGAACAAGTTCCGCGACCGCGCTTACAGCGACAACGGAGACCGGGGCGTGCTGCAGCAGAAGCCCGGCTCTCAGATCAACTCCACCCGCTACAAGACCGAGCTGTGCCGGCCCTTCGAGGAGAACGGGTCGTGCAAGTACGGGGAGAAATGTCAGTTCGCCCACGGCTACCACGAGTTGAGGAGCTTGTCCCGCCACCCTAAGTACAAAACAGAGCCATGCCGCACCTTCCACACCATCGGCTTCTGCCCCTACGGTCCCCGTTGTCACTTTATCCACAACGCCGACGAGCGCCGGCCCGCTCCGGCCGCCAACGCTAACGTGCAGGCGGGGGAGTCCCGGTCGGCCCGCGAGCTGTGCGGCTACGGCCAGAGGGACGTCCTGCCACCGCAGCAGCTCGGCTTCACTCAGAGGGACAGACCAAAGCTTCACCACAGCCTCAGCTTCTCTGGCTTCTCCACCCATCACGGACTCGAGTCTCCCCTGCTCGACAGCCCTGTGTCCCGGACCCCACCGCCACCCACCACCGCCTCCTCCTGCACCTCCACCTCCAGCTTCTACGAGGAAGTGCTCTCTCCCAACTCCGTATCCTGCATCAACAGTGCCTTCTCTTTCCCCGGACAGGACTTAAAAGCCTTACTGGCCCCCCTGGCTGTGCACACCCCCAGCGGCTACGCCAACAACCACTCCACCGGTGCCTACTACGGGAACATGCAGAGCAGCGTGTGCCCGTCCTCCCCTCCGACCTACAACATGAGCCACTTGCAGGCGCTGCGCCGCCTCAGCGAGTCGCCGGTGTTCGAGCGTCCTCCCAGCTCGCCAGACTCGCTCTCTGACCGGGAGAGCTATGCGAGCGGGTCCCTCAGCTCTTCCGGGAGCCTCAGCGGCTCCGAGTCCCCAAGTCTGGACGCTGGAAGACGTTTGCCAATCTTCAGCAGGCTGTCGATTTCAGATGACTAATCATGTTTTTGTTTTCATATGGATTTATGGACGGGTCAGGCAGGGTGGTTGCGGAGCCAAGGGGTGTCAGTGAGTGAGGTAGACTGTCCTTCAAGCAGAGGATCCCGGTTAAGCCCCTCACCCCCCGGCCCTCCAACCCAATTCAGCAGCAACCACCCAGCCGAAGTGCCTTTGAGTAAGACATTGAATCCCTACCAGCTCCAGGGGTGCTGACCCTCCTCTGACCTCCCTGGAGGGGGGCAAGAGAAGAGAATTTCACCCACAGGGATCAATAAAGCTTCAAACAGTTTAAAGTGTCCTTGACCTGGCATTAGTTTAGTTTTTTCTTGTATGTAATATAGCTGTATTAAAACTTAGATAGCAAACAGAAGGCATTCCATCAGTGCCTTGCCCGAGGGCTCATGGCAGCCCCCTCTCCCTTTTGCTCTATCAGGCAAGCCACACTTTTCCTGGGATTAGATGTGTGGGTAACATGACTTGACAAGAAGAAGAGACTGTAAGCGGTTTTCAGATTTCCTCCCATCCTGCCAAGAATATGCCTTGACTCAAAGTAACATTTTTTTTTCTTTATCAAAGTGTGTTTTTCTTTTTCTTCTCTGAAAGCTTCAACTTCCATTCCAGATCTGTCTTCTCCCAGCGCCACCCAGTGGTTC